GATGACTGAGGCAGCGTTTATTCTGCAATTCAGATCAAAATCGTACAGTCCTCATTTTTTGAAAACCGTTTAGAAATCCTCACTTTTGCTTTGGTAACTGAGTTCACAAACGATTTAGCAGTTTAAAAATGAAAGTTTTGCAAAATTTTTGCAGTTTAGGATTTAGTTGTTCTATAAAAAATTCAGTAGTTTTTAGCAGAACCTTATGCTTAGTCTGACTTTTTGTTCAAAAAATGTAATTTCACTGAGATTTTGCTTTATCATCAGAAGTGGAAATCAAAAACTGCAATTGATTTATTTTTTTGAGTATAACACCAACAAATCGTTTTACATTTCTTATTCAGTGTATATACACTTCTTAATTGTCTCTATTCAAGGCAGTTTCAATAATTTTTTTTTTTGAGTGTTTTATTTAAACTTGCAAAAAAAATTAATTTAAAATTTTTTTAAAACGCAGAAACGGTAATTTTCTATTATCTCCGTATTTGCCTTCTTTAAGACTTTTAAGATAGATTTCTCGTTTTCAGAAGCTGTCGTTTTTTCAAAAGATTATATGTTTAAATATTGAATCTTCAGCATCTTATTGAATAAGCATTTGAACTGAAATTTTGAAAGATTCAGAACCTAGCAATCCCAGCATCTCATGTAAAATATAAATTTTTTTATTAACCTGGTATTCTGTTTTATTGATTTACTGGTTTTGAACATAAAACCGGAATATCATTATTGAAAATAAACGTTTCGCAAAAGTTTCCTTTTGTGTGTTTGATAAAAAATTAGTATTTTTTTCTATCCTTCTTGAATTAAACGAACAAAAAACTGAGTTCACTTGTGTATAAAATAATTAAAACTTTTAAATTTACTGTATGAAAAGCAGTGACCGATTGCCGAGCACAAGAAACTGTGTCAAACGCCTTTAATAAAGAGTAAGATTAGAGCAACTCTAAAATACTTATTTTTCAAATACACTTTGGATAATCAAATTTATCCGTAATTTCAAATCGAATATTAGCAGATTCACTGTTGTATCAGTCACACTGTCAAACGCTTGAGCAACGAAAATTAAGTGTTTGATGCAAGTCGGGATGCTTTACGTCTAGACAATAGAGTTTTTACATTGTAGTAACTAAACCAGACTAATAGTCAGGTAATTGTAAGGTATAATACTAAAAAAACTCGAACAGACAGTTGCTGTTTTGTTGTCTTTAAAAACAGACACCAGACGCATCAATTGCCGTGCTTGAGAAAACGACTGCAGGCCTATACAGAAGCACAGAATAGTAGCTATAGGAATCTTAGTTACAGCGAAGCTGAAATGACTAAAAGTGTGATAACGAATGTAAGAGATTTGCAGTAGTGTGGCGTTACTAATTAAAATCATTAGTCTCTGAGAATTTTACAACCACAGCTCTTTCAGTAAACAATATTGCTTTTTGTTATATCTTCTGTGTTTTTCTATAGATCTATCTTTAGGTATAGCTAGTATACACTAAATCTTTATAATAATAACTCATAGATATTCAAGGAAAAGTGAGATCAAGTTTGACTTGAGAATAAATTAAAAACAACAATCCATTTAAAAATGTTGCAAAAAAATTGCGTAAAAATTCTAATTAAAATTAGACGACATTATACAGTTATTATTGTTTATATCTGTTGCTTTAGAACTAAATAAAAGTGAAAAAATTGTAACAAGGATTTAAGAGTGCAAAAAGAGAAACAAAATAAAGAATGAAAACAAATTTTAATATTTTTTTGCAAGGTAAGATCAGTATCATTAAAAACAGTTTAGAACTAGGTGTTCGCTGTTGGCTTTGTATTTTCAAGATCAAGAACACTGAAATACAACAGTAAGTATTATGTTTCTGAATTTAACTCTGTCAGTAATTCTCTTCTGCAGATTATGTAAAAACAAAATTTTAGATTTACTTGTAAATGACTAACTGTAAAATGTTTTTGGCAGTTTCAGTAGTATTATTTGGCGTGGTTGACATTTGACACATAACCAAAGTACGTACATTACAGTGATTCTTCCAGAAAAAGATTGAAGACATGATTCGATCAC